TTAAACTGTACAATTATTAACGAATTCGTGGACACTCTTTATGATACTATGTAAAGATTTTGCCACTTATTTTGATTAACAGATTACGATCAAATGAGAAGTTGGAACACAAACAAGCAACAATGCAGCGGGTGTCATGGCCGCCGGGCGCCATAATGGCAATTTTTCGCATACATCTAGATGAATGCTGTGAATGCGAGATGTGTCGTAAACGGGCCGCGACGTGCAAATTTGTATCCTTTGTGTCGCGCGACGCGAGCACGTGACCGGCATTCGATAGCCCCTCTCTGATTACCGAGTCTCTAGCAAACTTTATTCCGAATGGTTATCTTGTTACCCCTTTTTGATATACTTTTTTTTTCAAAATTTCTATATGCGGAATAGCTATTTATAATGATTTTTAGTTACAACTGCTTAAAGACACTAGAGCTGCAGCACGTTGAACTATAAAGTACTAAGTTTAGTTGCAATTTTGCTTAGAAGTGACATAATATTGATGTAACGAAAATTTCAGGATTGCAAATTGCGGGTCATCAAATTGCATGATTTCAAATTGCATGTGTCGTTCAATAACTAGATATAGTATGTGAACAATTCAGATAGCAATTAGATCTTGGCCGTCACGTAATAGCGCCTCAACCCTCGGACCGGACCATTTCTGACTTCACTTTGTCCTGTTATTTGTTTGCGTGGCCTCGAGCGGAGGCGTCGTACTGAGAATATGAATCACATTCACCGAAATAGACAAAAACATTATATACAGCTATACCAAAAACTAATAAATATAGAAGATACGTATTACAAATAACGTCTATCTATGCATTAATTCATATTTTCCCTCTTTAATCATGAGTTATGTATTTTCCAGTGTATGTAGCCAGTAATTCCTTTAACAAGTGTAATCAATACATAATATGTGCCATCAATTCCTCGGTACACATGTTCCGTACGTCGACAGCTCACAATGACCGTGTCCAACCAAATGACTGTCATTGTGAAATAGCTTCTACATTTACATGTAATTGTTTATGGACTATTGGATGTATTTTGCATCTATATTAAAGAATATTAAACTCTATGGAGAGATATTACAATTATTATATGTATAATACTATTGCTATTTTTACTAGAAGATTATAATGAATTTAATGATACTGCTTTTGTAAATCACGTATAAGTATATTTTTTTATTGCAAGACACAAAAAACAACTTAATATATAATACTTGATTATTTCTACTGAAAATTACATGTTCATGTAAATCTAATATTTTTTGACTGCCAGACACATCCAGAAAATTAAACATATCACTTTACTGATATAAATAGATCAATCAATTTTTATTTATTTTCAATATACATATGTAATAGCATTGATTTTAAATATCTCTTCTCTTGATTTAAATCATTGTATTTCAATCACGTATTAATCAATATAAACGTTTAATAAAAAGTGTCATTGGCGTATAAATAATGTGATTTTAATGTCATTATTATAATTGGATATAATATAAACAGTGTTAATATTGTTAATGTGTCAATCGAGTTCCCTCAGCCCGCCAGTCTGTGACCGCGAGCGTTTCAATTTGTACCGCAGACGGATTTAGATTTTTTACAGTTTTATTTAACTTTGAAATTTTAATTTCAATTATATGTATACTTTGTAATACAGCTGAGTTGTTTATATTATGAATTTTAAGTTATTAAGACTTATATTTTAGTTGTTTTGGCTCATTTTATATGTATTAAGTATAACTTATGTTTTCGTTTGAACTTTATATGATTTTCGAACTATATATTTTTTGATGTTGGAATTATAATAATTTGAATAAATATTTCCAATATATTCTTGATGTAGAAGAGTTTTAAATAAATATATATGTTAATAAAAGTATTGTAACCGTCAACTATGTGTAATAAAACCGATTCCCGCCTCACTAATTAGTCGCTAAAGGGTGTTTATTTGTGGGGTGGTCGCTAGTGAAACCATGATCTTATATTTGTACGGATATTTCCCAAATGGATTGTTTAAATGCTATTTAAATATCTTATATAAATACATTAAAATAATAATCCTCATTTTATTACATAATGAGATTTAAGACTCTAGCGAGTATTCATTTAAATGAATCTAATATTTTTTAGATTACTGCGAGCATTTTATATCTTCTACCCGTGAAGACGGTTGCTGAAACTTCGAGAGTATGTAGTGATTAAAATGATAAAATACTACTACTACAGAAATATTAGTTTCATACTCATTTAAATAAACCAATATATTTCGGATATATACTGCGCGGTTTTTTTTTGTAAAAAACATCACACATTCACATCTAGTCTGCCCGTGATCACGGTTACTGAAAAGTATACGAAACGTCGGTAGTATGTAGTTTGTTACAAAGATAAAATACTGGTAGTATATTTAAAAATATTAGTTTCATTTAAATGAATAAAAATTTTCAATAGTTCAATAGTTGAACTTCGATTTCTTTATGTAGTTTTGTTTTAAGAAAATTCAATATAATTGTGTTTTCAGTTTGTATTTACTAAAAAGTTTTTATTTGTAATATTTTTGTATCTTCAATGTTAAAATTGTTATCAGCGTGGTCACCCTACCCTCTCGTCCCCATAGTCTCATCTCTAAACGGGAGCAAATGCACATAATCTCCCATTATTGTTTTTTTATTGAAAGGGTAAATCCGTATTATGGATTACCTTTTATGTTTGGGATAAATCATAAACACTATGATGACTTCAAAGCTTCTTTACTCTTCAGAGGATTGAGAATTTGTACACAACATGAATGAATATCACTTACGATCAGATATATAGTATAATAAATTATTAATAATAATTAAGTTCGAGGAAACAGAATATTTTTTATATAATTTGGAAATTAAATATTATTTGCAAATCAAAATTTTAACACAAAAAAAATATACTTGAAAATTCTGATACGTACACATATTAAAAATTAAATTGTCTACGACAGTCATTATGTTATTCTTGTTTATTTTACATACTTTAAAAAATATATAATACTTCATGCTACTATAAAAAAGACGATATTTTTACACATATACATATTATAATATAGTATTCTAGATACGTAACTGATAAAAAAATATAACTTCATGCTGCAGCCAAAGTCAAAAATTGTAATAAATATATTGGATATTAATCTGTTTTTTTTTATCATGTATTCATTTAGTTTTCTAGTTTGTACACTATAAACCATCTGCTGCCATCTCGTTCCAACTGGTTGGGTCTTCAAGAGTCCTTCACACATATAACACCGCGGGGGATGATGAAGCTTTATAATTTGTTGATTTTAATTTAGTTTCTTTCGATAGTTTGGATAGAAATATATATATTAAAACTAAGACTTCGAGTATTCATTTAAATTAAACTAATATTTTTGAATGTATTACGCGTTTATTATTTTACAGCGCACTACCGAAGCTTTGGTTACTTCGCAGCAGATAAGATGAAAATTTTCCATATAGTTACATAAGTTAGGTCACATTTGAGAAATGCATACATTAAATTATCGTTACAATATGTTAGAGAAGGTTCAAGGATTTGTTTCATTTAGTATGGAGTAGATTTTAAGATTTTTTTTTCATTTAATTGAAATATAATATTTAAATTGGAATGCTGGAATTCAGATATATAAGTTTTAAAAATATTAGCCATTATAAGTGATGGGTGCTATTCTGTGGTTCCATTTAAAATCAATATAATTTTATTAAACTCATTCATAGGTACTAAATTATTTATTTATATTTATTGTCATATCAGATTTGCAATCCAATGTAATAATTATACATATGTATTAAAGAGATTTTGTTTAAATTTTAGTGAAATAATAGAATTAAAAGAAATATTCTTTTCAATGTTTATTCGTTAAATCATAAAGAAAAACCTGATACAAAATAATAATAAAAAACTTAAATTACATATTCAATATTAATACGAAACATTCTAATGGTTTCAAACAACAAAGTATTCAACAACAGCAAAAACAAAAGACAATCTGTCCAACGACATCCAAGATTGTTTACACTAACTATGTACAATAAGGTATATAACAATAAAAAAATCCTTATATACGTAATCAAAATTATATAAACATCCCATTATACAGTACTTGTTAAAACAAAATAACTAACTTTATGCAGACGACGAGTTAAAAAAATTACTTAAGAATAAAATTAAAGATCGCCTCACTATATTAAATAAATTCATTCATATAATATTTGTCATATAATTTGCTCTCAGGTTTTAGATACAAACGACGTTGAAAGATATGAAATTAAAGATAGAAGTGATGAACAGTTTTCAAACAAAAAAACGAATATCTTTTAATTTATAACTATACATTAAGTACTACATGTTATTCTATTATTAATATCACTATGATATGTTATCTATTCGAGCTTTTTAAGTAAATTATTTACATTGCACTAGTTTTATATAAATTGCACATAGATCTCCCTTCAGTTAACTGAAATCAAAACATATTGACGGAGGAAGACGAACACAATCAAATGAATCATAACAAGAATTATATATTTACAACTATATATGAAAAATAATATAAAAAATAAATCTAGTGTCGAGTATGACAAGAAATTCGCTTTTGAATCGGTCAATAACATTTATTTACAATTCATTATCTATAGTATACCAACGTCTTAAACTATTAGACGGGAAAATATTCTTTCAATACTTTATAGTCCGTAATAATTCTCGTGTATTACGTAAAATACATTTACAGATAACATTGTTCTTCATAATCTTTCCCGCATTAAATGTTCCAGTCTTTTTTAAACTGATATAGAACCTCATTACTTCACTATTGCACATTCCATCACAAGAACTTTAGCCTTCGTATCCACGGGTCAGGTATTACACGCTGTCAGGAGTACTGTCGCGGTCATTGGAGGTGGAAGGCTGCTCCCAGTGCGAGTAGGGCCTCGCGGGGAGCGGCACCGGCCTTCATATAACATGCTGTGGAGGCTCCTCGTCACTCTTCATCAGGACGTAAGCCACCGGGCGCTTCACGTCTGGCGGAGGTGACGGAGACCGGCGAGGAGGGCAGCCGCAAGGAGACAGGGCGCTGTTGTACAACGCCGAGCTGTACAACGCACCGCCGTACAGGGCCTGCGAATAAAAATACGTCTGCAAAAAATGTAATGCGCTGTTACAGTCCCGATTCTACCCCGACAAACAACTTAATGCTACCCATATTTGGTTAAAAATAGAGAATTGATTATTACCTGTAAATGCGCTAATTCGGCTGCCAACTTTCCATCGTCGGAGGGAATCTTGGCGAAGGGGTAAAATGGGTATGGTATGGGTGGGAAGAGCGTCCGTCCCAAGTCAGGTTTGTCCTGCAGCAAGTGATGTGGTACAGGCATCTGTGGTACAGGCTGCGGCATGGAGGGCGTCATCAGGCGAGGAACTGGTGCCATCAGACCGCTAATGTTGAAACCGAACTTAGGCTCCTTCTTGATCAAAGCCTTCGGTTTCCGCCGCGGCCGATATTTATAATCGGGATGTTCTTTCATGTGGAGGGCTCTAGATACAAAAAAAAACCTTATATATTATTTAGTTCAAAAAATGTGCCAATAAAACTAAACATACGAGTTACATTTGTTCCTATGACGGCAAGCTTAAATATTCAAATGTTACATAAATTTGCTCCAGATTCCTTTGTATATAAAAGCCGTTATTCAGCAAACAGCGTTTAAAAACCTCATACGAACTATCATCCCCCGCTCCGTCCGAATAATTACAATCGACTAGCTGACAATCGCGATTCTATCACAAAGCTCGCATAATCGGACGCTGTGTCGACTGCTTCTTATACTTGAAAGTCCTATCTACCTTCGATCACAGACAGATATAAACCTTATCTGAATGAAGTAGAGTTTAAAACAGCATTACAAGCTGCCTGACATAGTGATGGGCGCGGAATAACAGTCGATTATACCGGGGACAATGCAATAATCCGAGTATTGTTGAATTGACATTGTTGTTTTAAGGGCGGCGGGCGTTCGCGACAATTGTACGCTTTATTGCATAAATAATAATGTTATTCTGCCCAGTGGAGTTCCATTGTGGCGTTTTGTTGTTAAACTTAAAGCTGCGAATCAGATTACAAAATTACTGTTCGATACACTCACAAAGACTGAGACAGTTTGTGATTATTATGACTTATGTCATTGTTACTTTGTTAAGTCTCATATTTCACGCAATGGTACCTGGAGGTTTGTACATATATTCGTTCCTACAAAATTAATCTTAGTCACAAATTTTTTGAATTCGATTTTGAAACTCATAATATAATTTACAAGAAATGATTGATATGAGTATTGTTTTCATTCAATCAATCTATCAAGCGTCAGGACCGTACCAATAAATCATTCAATCATACATTATTAATTCATTCTTCCACCAATCTTGAACATATCGTACACGTGAACAATGTCGTTGAAAGACACCAAAAAAAGTCACACAAGATATCGATATATAAAAACGTTTGGTAATAACAAAAAATCGAGGTCAACGACCGCCTATTCCTTCATTACTGTTTGTACAATAAACAAGATAACTTCGAAATAACATCGAGAGAGAAAAAAAACTATCTGTATTTGATCGGCTTTTTGGCGTATCGACTGGCTTAATCGACTTGGACAAACATCGATACTTTTTACATTTATACCTTTGTTGATAGTGATTGTGTATTGGTTTAGTAGAGGACAGTACTGGAGGTCGAAGCCAAAATGACCGCTTCGTGTTTTGTTATAGTAGATACTAAACAAGGCTGAATAATCATTAATATACTAAGTCTAAATTCCCATCGTGCACTACAAACGTAACGTTTTCAGTTTCAACTTCAAGAACCTACGTTAATACGATTATGTTGGAAGATTTATGAATGAGAAACTATTAATACTCCGTATCCACCACGATGATGCCAACTTGGACTAAACATAAGTTCCGAATACCATGTTCACTTACATTTAATATAATTATTATTTATATGGCTTCTAAATCTTATAAAACTATATATTTTATTCATAACATCGCGTAATTCAATCCAAATATTACAAAGCATTTAAAGTTATACTAATAATATTCAGAAAATGATAAACAGACATTAAAATATGTGTTCCATCACGGCAACGATAAGACGGAGACATTGTTTGTTGATATTATATCGAATGATAAAAAATAAGTATGAATGCAAACACCGGCCGCGCCTTTTCGTCAATTGTATGAAGTGTTGACCGATAGCGTGCAAACAGCACGAAATTAAGTTCCCGCCGGCCCCTACCACGCACCACACATACCATCTATATAAACAACTAGTTTTTGCCCGCGACTACGTCCGCGTTAGTTTGGTCAAGAGTAATATATGTAGGTGTAGCTGACCAGTCGAACTCTATTCCGTCTTACAGGCCATAAATAATCAGGTTTTTCCTGTTTCAATCAAACAGAATTGACATATTTGTTAGTTGTCAAATCTAATGTCAAAAAAAACTTTTGTATGGGAAATAGAAAAGGGCTGTTTTTATGGTTTTCCCAGTAATGAATCAATTTTTCTCACCTTTTAAACCTTCCCTGGACTTCCAGGAATATTTCAAGACTAAAATTAGCCAAATCGGTTCAGCCGTTCTCGAGTTTTAGCGAGACTAAGGAACAGCAATCCATTTTTATATATATAGAAGATTACTGTGACCATCCTCTGTTATGTATGACAGATGCTATTATTGGCTACCGCTTCCTTGTACTACAATCGATCATTCACTATAACGAAACTATTGTTTTTGGTTTCTATAAATGATTACTACATATGAACCGGTTCATAATGACAAATATTTGTGATGAATGAATGGAGGAATGAATGAACGAATGAATGAATGAATTTGAACACTTCATTATTAGATATGCTATTAAATTATTTTGGATGTAAAAGTTTTAAAATGTCCCAAAGATGCTCAATTTAAATTATTGTTCCAAATATTCAAGTATAATGTGAGTTAATATGCATTTTAATATTTTGCGTAGTCAGTAGATATAGGAGTTGGTAATTTTTTTTTATTTATATTATTTATTTAGTAATAACTAAACAGCTTAGAAGTATCCTTAAATTAAGGAATTTCAAAGTATTTGTTATTCTTCGTTCCGTATAGTAAATGACGAGAATAATATTTAATGACAGTATTCATATTACTAAATTAATTGAAGTTTTTTTTATATCATGTAAATTGTCAATGAACGCGAATGTATAATAAAATGTACATAATGTTGTCGAATAGTATATTGTAGTGTATAATAGTTATATACTTATAATACATAAGAACGAGACACATGTTAGATATACGTATATTTATATATACATAAAGAAGTTAAAAGAATGGTTTTATATAGGTATTTATAATTTAAATAATATAGACTTAACAAAATTCTAATTCTTTAAGTGAACTGTATCCTTAGTGTGAGTTTAATCTGTTAAACTCAACACCAATAGTTTCTGAGTTACTAAATTAATCTAATACGATGGAATTATGAGTGGAATACTAAGAAAATGTGTGAGTTTACTTTGATAAGTCCAACTAATAGTAGGGGCATTGTAGAATAATATTATTATTTTATAAATTTAGGTACATATTCTCCATGAGAGGCCTCTGATAGGCTGATGATGATGTGTACATAAATAGTTCTAAATAAACATATGGAAAAACTCTTATAATTATGTTTAAGAAAATGTTGTATATATTTGTTGATTGAAGTAAGGGTTGAACAAAGAGCTTCAATAAGAGCACAATATATATTAGTATTCTAAGTAGCGTACACAGTACACTCGCCCCTATCTTTAACAAAGCTAGACTGGTGGCATAAGCTTGTTTTTATAGCTCTGCTGCGGACTGATAACGGCTCGCCCCATTGCAAGATATTACAATCAAGCCAGATAATTGTCGGGGATTTTTGGATACAATTGATTTGTATGGGCTTTGTGGCATTGTTTTATTTTAGTAGTGTATTAAGAATTGTATAAGAGAGTGCGTTACATATATCTTATATCTAAAATACGAGTATAGATTTGATTTTAAATTAAATGTAATGCATTGTAGATAATAATTTTTAATATTCTTGATTGATATAATGGAATCATATGTAGGTATATGATGATTCAAATATTTGAGTATTTTTCTGTGTTTTTTTATGAATATAATTATTATATTGCGTATATATATTATTGTATTCAATTCTACATTATATTTGATTATAACAATGGAATTTGAATTATTGTTTAATTAAATTGTATGGAGACATTAACTCATATGTTTTTTTGTTCACTTAAGCACTGCTTCTAATTGTCTCGTGTACGATTAAAAACGAAGATTTTTGGGTGAAAAACATTGATACTAAAAGTTAAACATAATATAGTGTAATTACCAGACTTACACTGAAACCTGAAATGTAATATAAATATATAATAAGAGGGTTATTCCGCAATTTACATATTAAAGAATTAAGATATAGTGGTGTGAAGAAAGTTTTATTAATTTTTATTGTTTCTTACATTTAAAGCTGTCATAAATGAATAAGGCATATTACATATAGTGATAGATTTGTTAAAAACTGATATTTTTTCAAAAAAAACGACGTCTATTTGAATAGGTAAGGATTTTCATGAATTAAAATAAAGTCATTGAAAAATATACTTTGAAATCAAAATAGTATGACAATTGTTCTGATTAAATTTATCTGAAGACTGAATATAAAACAAATTATAATATATATGAATATAATCAGTATTTGTCGTAGCGTGATAAGCTGTACTAACATCCGCCCTCGGGTTTGTCTGTATTTAATCGTGAACTTCTCAAACAGTTTTTTTGTTCACAGATTATAATAGCAGGTGCTTTGTTTTGAAGACTATTTGACTTTGATAAAATCTTCAACCCAGGGACCCACGTGAACGTCTTTGTGTTTGAAAAAACTTATTATTTGTATGTAAATGTTGCTGGTTCAATATTAGAGGCGTTTATACTTCATGTTGCAGTTAAATCTGATTTATAGACTATTTGTTTTTATACTATGTTGTATGGACGTCTTATGTTGTAGTTTAGATTTTTTTTAAATTAGTTTTGGATTAAGTCTTAATTTATATAAAATTACTAGCTGTCTCGGCAAAACGTAGTTTTGCCATATAAAAATAGGTTTTGTATCTATTTTTTGATGCCACATAATAAAAAAATAAAAACATGAATTTCTTCCAAAAATTAATAGTGAACAATCCTTATCACTTAGGGGTATGAAAAAATAATTAGCAGTCGATTCTCAGACCTACTGAATACGTATATAAAATTTGCTAAAAATCCGTAAAGCCTTATCGGAGGAATATTGGTACGAACATTGTGACACGAGAATTTTATATACCTACCTATTAGATTATTCGTAAAATTATTACATTTATCAGAAACTAGTTTGTCAAAAAATGTATTTTTTTATTTAATTTTAAAAAATGGATCTTAGTCAAAAATTATAGAGTCACTTAAAAACAAGAATAATATATTTATAATAAATATAATTTTTAAGAAGAATATTTTCTCTGCCATATATTGTACGGAATTAAAAAAAAATAATTTTAATATCAAAAGTATTTTCTATATTTTTATTGCCTTTAAAGCGCTAAGGGTTGGTTTTAAGCTACATATATTAATATTAATGACCATATTAAATATACGCGTATATTCTTGTATTGTATCAATAAAATATATGTATACGCTGCGGTTAGAGAAGAACAAGGTTTTCATGACAAATATTCACTTAATACATTTTATCTATTCTCTAAATATACAAAATTACACACCAACAAACTAACATTTATATTTAGAGCATAATATTATAAAAATATTTGTAAGAAAAGTAAAATTAAAAAAATATATCCACAGCTAGGTAGGTATTTAAACATTCACGATTCTTAAATAAACTGCTCTAATATTAATTTTAGTTAAAAATATCTGTTAATTTCTTTAAACTAAATTGTTGCAAATATTTAATTGACATTTTTTTAATTAAGCCACAATAAGTCGAATTTCTAACAAACATGACTTTATTTTGTCATACATTATTTATTTTTTTATAATTTATATACGACCTCGTTGGACGTGTTCTAAATTTAAATCTCCATAGTATAACTAACCTGAGTCTTTTCGCTTCATCGATGAAGGGCCTCTTCTCCATTTCAGTGAGTAACTTCCACTCAGCTCCAAGTCTCTTCGATATCTCTGAGTTGTGCATCTTGGGGTTGTCCTGAGCCATCTTCCTCCTCTGTCCCCTGGACCACACCATGAACGCGTTCATGGGCCGCTTTATGTGATCCGAGGGTTGCTTCGACAGTGACATATTTAAATTTTAAACAGATTCCAATTCGTTATTAAAATGATTTTTATTTTCTGTTATCACGTATGTTCGGTGTGTACATTATTTATTGCAAATTTAATTTTTGTTTCTAAATTTATAGATTTTTTTTAATAGTTACAGCCGTTGTTTCACCGCGAGTAGTACGTGTTTAGTAAAGGATCCGCGGCCGTGAAAAGCTATCGAAGGCTGAATGCGGCGCTTTTCTTGGCGGTGTGAGGTCGAGCGGTTCCTGGCTCGGTTCCCCTCGGTTCCCCTCGGTCCCCCTCGTCCCTGGCAGCAGCCAATCGCGTGGTGTGATGGGCGGCCGCCGGGAGCTCATTGGAGGAGTGTCTCGACCAGCAACAGGTGCTCGTATGTCCTTGTTAGCATGTTTATTAGCCAGATTAAATTCGTTTTTTTTTCAACCGCAGCCCGGTATCATCAGTAATTGGATGAATTGGAACCGAAATGGATGTGACGAGGATTTGATACTCACGTGATGACATACGACCTACATACATGATGGATTTCTTAACCTTACATAGTATAGATGAAATATATATTTTTTTTTGTATAAATTTTTTTTTCAAAAAATTAATGTTGTTTTATCATAAAGAATTTTGATGGGATTTAAATATTTTAAATATTAGTTATTCCCGCTTCCATCTCTCTCTTTCTGTATTGTCTGTCTCGTCGTATATTTATAATGAAGTTTGTGCGGTCAGAACACTATTATGTTGTCAAACAGATAGCATTCCATTGATTCCCTAAATAATGGTTAAAAAAAATTCTAGAAACAAAAAAAAAACCTTTTTTATATTCATTTAATTTTCATTTAGAGTCAGTCTCATTAGAACTATAGTACTTAGTTCATATCCATACGAAATTAATCTCTAAGATGAAAAAACTAATATCCTTATTTTATGAAGATGATAGATGAATATCTTCTATCTATATCTATATATCTATATCTAATCTATTCACCTCAATGTTTATAACATATAACAATAAACGCGTCGTCTGTGGCCGTCACAATATCTTGTTAGCTACCGTTTCCCCGCTCCGATGACCAGCCGCAGGCGCCTCACTACCATACAAAATATACAAACACATATAACACTCACACATACATACTAAATACAACCTTATAAAGTAGCAATAGAGTCGATTTCTGAATGAATTACATTTGGAGTTAAAACCTTTAGTTATTAGTACCCAATAGAACCTTCATTATATAAGCCTGTGTTAATATTTATGAGTACACCGTGACAGCCTATTACAGTGTTTCAATATATTGTTAAACTAACTTCATTATTCGGATATACCTACAAAAATATTAGAAAAATAGACATTATAATACAGATTTTATATATTTTTAATATTAATTTAATTTTTTTTTTCGTGCAGCCTCTGTAAAGGTACTTGACTGCGTTTGAAATATCAAAATTGTTTTCAGAGCGTGACGTGTTAACGTTGTTACGGTAAATGATTTACGTGATCGATACCATCATACGTGGACACGTAGATGATTTACGATGATTTCAAACAGAATATTGGCTGGTAGATTGTAAAATCTATTATTTGGAAGCCAATAGCTCCCATAATAAGGAAATTAATTGAATATTACCTATAAACCTCATTCCTAAAACATCACAGTACAGGGTGACTGGTGAATTACTATCGATATTTGAGGACGTGATATTTGACGATCATTTATGACAAAATAAAAATTAATACAACATAAATATTAATAAACTTCTAAGTAAAGTTAACCAAAAGTTGTGTAATTAATTACGCATCGTATGAACACCCTACAGATTAGGTATACACACACACTCACACAGACGCGGCGGCGGCGTAGTGTTGTATCAGCACGCCGCCGCACGCGTCCACACTAGGAACACTTAGAACGTGTCAACACTTTATTTATTTATACGGAAATTTGGTCAAAAATTAAGTACCTATTTTTTTTACATAATTCGAATGAGAATCATGTACCGAGTATGCTCCTTAAATATTGATAGTAATTCACCAGTCACCCTGTATAAGAATTAATATAAAATGATCAAAGTACACTTTCAGACTTAATGTTCAATGTTACTTAATAATATCTTATAAAAATGACATAGACCAATATTTATTGTTTTCAATATAAGTAAATATTTAAATGTTGCCATTATAAAATAACAATGGCTCATGGTTCGTGGTACATTAGTCATAGATATAATTCTAAGGATGACGTGCTTTGTTACAAAATATTGTAGGAAAACTATATGTAATAATATAATTTCATTCATATTAGTTGTATATAATTACAACCAATAATGAATGCAACTCGTAGCTAAGCTACGTGTTCGTAGAGCTACGAGCTACGAGTTACGAGTTACGGACCGACAGGCTGTGGTGTCTACGGGTGGATTTGTGAATGTTTAAATATATTAAAAAATATTATCAAATAGTATGAAATGTTTATAGATTTAAATTGTATTACGTTACCTAATATTTTTTTCATTCTCTTCCATTTTTGTTTTTGAAATAATTATGATATAATAATATGTTTTTGAAACAATTATATGTATATATATACATATATAATTCATTATAAAAAAGAAAATTTTATAGATACATGTTAAGGAAGATTTATTTATAAGATCAGATATTCATCTTTCCACCCAGACCAACCGTGAGGCGAGACGAAACAATTATTTACATTAGTTTCAAGATGATTGTGCATGAGGAAACATTGAACCGGTTCCATAAACGAGAATATTTTTAATATAAAACGTACAAAAAATCCATTAGTTCCCTTATTTGAAGTGTCTGTGAGCTCCGGGCGACCGGTCTGTACGGGGACCTCATTTATACCCGCGGGCGGTGTGACGTACTCAACACAATTGATTTGGAGAAGTGATTAAACAAACAGTATATAAAAAATAATTATATATATAATAAGACAAACTAATGTTGAAGATAGTTAATAATCGTCATCAATCTATCAGTGCCCACTGCCGAGCAAAGGCCTCTTCTCACATGGAGAAGGTTTGAGCATTATCACCACGCTTGCTCAAGACGGGTTGGTGATTTCAAACTTATAATTGTGATACTATAAGTCCAGGTTTCCTCACGATGTTTTCCTTCATCTGTCAGTGGTGTCTAAATACTCTTAGAACATATGACTCGGAACAATCACATTGGTACTTGCCAGGTTACTTAATAACCATTGAGATGTAACTTAAATAGTATCATTGAAGTAAGAAAGTTTTCATGGCGAGTATTTGAATAATATAATATGAATTGAATATAAAATATAAATAAAAATATAAGAGACAGCACAAAGCGGGCGCGTGTATTGAACGGAGGAAATAAAAATATCCTATCAATAGACGTAAAGGAGGCGAGCGACCTCACGCGAGGGGATCGACGGGAGATCGATCCTGAGATATATACGACGATGATAAAATTTATACAAATAGATAATAAGAAAGAATCTTACTTTAGACTATTTATTACTTTAGACTATATTATTTTGGTCTAGCTCTCTGAAATTACATTTTTTCCTCTAACAACTTTACACTGCGACACTAGAAATATTTCTTGAAGTCTTTTCTTAACTACTTTTCGTTGTATGAGTAGTGACACGGAAATTCAAATAGCTTTTTTCCTTTTTATTTCTTTACTTTTGCTGGTGTTAGTGGACACTGGAGTCTTGTAAGCAAATAATTATTTTCTCGGTCTTTAATCCGAGTGGTAATTCTATTTGTAATATTAATATTTAATTCTACATTAGTATTTATTCGTGTGAAGGTTGTCTGTTGTATGTTATCCCTGTACCGTGATCTCGTGTGTAGTGTCAGAACAGTTTTATTATAGGAGTCGAAGCCGTCCTTCCATCCTATTCTGTTTTCGTGTTTGGGATTTTTTGTTTGTATCATATTGGTAACGAATTTATACAATTTTGTTACCATTTATATTCATATGTTGTTAAAATATTTAAATATACATATATTGGTAGGATTGTTTTTGCATGTAAGATGTAGATTATAATGCTAGGTAGAATTTTACTACAGAAGTGTAGAATAACACTCAAAATATATGCTTTATAAACCAAGGCTTTTATCATAGTATAATCCACAGTAAACAACTTTTACATTCAGAGATTAAGTAGCGGAATAAATTAATTGGCTATACATGAAGAAGCAGAAACAATAGTAATAGGAAATCTAGCATTCGTATGTTTACTCAAATATCCATTAACACACTATATACGTAGCGTTAACGGTTTTTCATTCATAAATCTTCTCATATTATAGTATGAACATATTAAATTGGTTATGAGAAACGCTTGCTTATCTAGAGTAGATGAAAAGTTTTGTTAAACATAGGTGGAGAGTTTTATAACATTGATGGAAAGTAGAATGATTAGTTTGGAAATAAAATTGTTGCTAAATGAAGTTATTTTAGTTAATATTCTTTTGCTTCTTTTTGATTAAACTTATGTATTATCTTTTCGTGTTGTGTCAAGAATATAGTATGGACATTCTTATAGTGATATATCAAAAGTGTTAGGAACAAAGCCTCAAAATAAATGATATTTATACTGCTCGTGCCGTAAAAATATTGCATCCAAAGAGACGGTTTCACTAATAGCTAATAAGTTCAAGAAATCTTTTTAACCGAAATTTTAGTATTCCATAAATTCTCACATCTAATATGCGAAAATTATTCTAAGATACTTGCTACTCATTACTTGCATTACCTTTATTTAAGAAGTTAACTAGTAGCATTCTATATTATTAATTATTTATATATATTAAGCATCAGAAACTGATAATACCCTGAACTGGCTAAGGCTGTATAAGTTAAGTTGTTGCCAAAAGTGTGAACAGTAAATCTCAATAAACGTAAATAGATGCACGGCCTCACGGGAGACCGTTTGAAAACATAAAACTGAGGCTTTAAACTCAGCAATAACAATAAGTTACGGCTTATACAGCCTTCACAACACACGACTATACAAACTTTATCGTACGACGTTACACATATTTTTGTATATTATTTTATATTTCATAATAAGTGGTATTAAATTTAATGATGGTTGTTCCGAAAATTATTATGACGGAAAAACTCATTTAAATAGTCTATATTTTCTGTAGTAATCGGTGAATAAGTTGCCAGATTAAAAAATATATTGAATGTTAATTCTTGTCGCGATGTCAATTTTAAGACGAAAAATAAAAGAAAATTCTATTTTAAAATGCACATAACATTGACGTTATTATAAATAATAAAGAAATGGAATAAAAAAAGATCTTTATAAATTATTAACGAGAAATAATAATGTCATACATAGAAATAAATGTGGAACTATAATCAATTTAATTATATTAACGAATTATAATAGGGAGAGTACTTCGGAGTCATAATTCCCTATTGGAGTAACAAACAGAATATATGATAATTCTATTTATACTAGACGATTATCTAGAATTGAATTAAATAAAATTATATGATATTTAAATCAAAGCTCGTGTCGTGATCGTGTCGTGTAAATGTCACTCCTTCCTTCCCGACGACGGGCGCGGCGGGAGGTTTTTGTATTTCACATTATAGCTTCATAGGATCTTATTTTCATAAATATGGCAGCTTAAATACCCCCTTTATGTCTGCGGTGATTTACAAACACTTGTGGGCTGCGAAACTTGAATCAACTATTACATATTTGTTTAAGGTTCATTATTGACTTTAGACTTTAGTGGATTTAGGCATTTTATTGTTTTAATGAGTTCTAAGACTTTCACAAGTATTCATTTAAATGAAACTAATATTTTCCGATTGTTGATAATTGGTTGATACAAATATGAGTACGAAAGTTTGTTCATAGAGAAATAATATATGTTTAATTCATTTGGCGTAAAGTTTACTTTGGCTGGTTATAATTATTGTTTCATTAATAAGTGTAATACATGACTCTGGCAAAATCTAGAAGAGAATTAGAATAACTCAAATATATATTAAATGTCGTAGAACAAAGGTGTATAGTCCTTAGAGGAGTTTGTAGTATCAGAACTCAAGTCTGAATGTCTCTTTTGTTTTACACTATTCTTATTATTTTATATCTAAGACAATTTCCATTTAGTATTTTAAAAATGTTAAATTATTATATACGGTGTATTGTTAATATGTCAATTTTTAAATTTTTATATCTAAGGAAATCTTATTGAACTGAGTTTAAAAATTGATCGGGGTTCATTTTAACAATGTATTCTAATATTATCACAAATATATTTTTCTTTCAGTCTTTGTGGTGAGTATTATTTAGTTCATCACTTTTAGTATACTGATATCAAATTATATAATAAATCTTTATTAAATATATTCATAATTATTGATGAAATATCACATTTTGTCAGATAATTTTAAGATTCAAACCGCCTATATGCATTAGTTTCAACTTTAGAGTTACGTTTTCACTATGAAGTGTCTTCTGTAAAACTTTCAACAATATGAATAATTAATGTTTAATATAATAATGTAAAATATTTCATTTAAAGTTAACAAAAAACTATTATTTATCGTAAATAAGTAAAACTTAAAAATTTTCCTCTTACTGTTTTTAAGGATTCGATCTGGTCCTTGCTTTATGAAGCTCTAAAATACTAATGATCTTATCAGTCTCACTTCTTAAAGAGATAAGCTCTGCGACTTTGGAGATATTATGAAAAGTATTTTTCAATTTAAAATTATTTTTACCAATATTATTGGATATTTCTTACTTTCATTACGTCAGGTCATTTTTGACTAATTTATAATGATATAAAACTCTCAAGATATAAAAGTACATACAACTTTGATTCTGTGACTTACCTATTCATTCTCTTCAATTTATTTATTATACAATAAAGTTTCAAAATGATAAAAATATGTATTTAGTTTACTCTAACGGTCTTTGGATGAGAGTTAACCTTAACTAGTAAACAACACAAACCCCTTGGTATAATTACAATTGTTAATGTACTGTAGAAGTTTTTAAATGAGAGGTTAACCTTTTCAACCAACAGAGATCCTATAACTCTTGGTATAGTTGTCAGTAGTGACGTTGTTTGTTAACAAAGTCACGAGGAAGCGGTGTTATTTGATGTTAGTGGATAGCATTTAATTTTGTCTTCAAACAGTTTATATCAAAGAAGCTGAATCTTCCAGTAGTAGTTGCGTATTGAAACCTTGTTTGACTTGGCTGTCTGAAAGGTACAAATTTTATGTCGTATAGCGTAAGATTGCATCAAATTGGAGAATTAGAAAAGTGTGACTGTAGTAGGAACAATAAGTTATATATATTGGAATGATCACCAGAAACGGTATCAAGAATGGGACTAAGGTTGTATTAATCATGTTTTGATTTGAACTAAATTTGTGTCTGACATATTAAATTTTTTACCACACCAAATTAAAGCTCAAAAGCTGATGGAAAAGTATGAAAAGCCAATTTCGCCGTTCGCAAAAGCCGTCACTATTGTAAAGGAAAAAACAATTCAATGGCATCAAGTGGTATTCAGTAACTTGATATACAAATGAGCTTAAAATGTACTCATATTATTCAATGGTGCAAATAACCGCTGGAACAAATACCATTTAGCAAAACGGTCACAGGGCTGGGAAAACTTAAGCATGCAATGGATTCCACAGTAAATAAAAATAGAAATTTAAATAATTACTCCCTTATTCCGATGACTGCATAACGATTTAACTCCAATCCAACATTAAAAAACATCAAAACAACAAGTGTTCAGATAAGGCTTCCAAAAAAAATTATTGCCAAGTATGTACTCAAAGTAACCGTGAAACGCCTCTGTTCTCCGTATATTGGAAGAAATAATTGTGTCCAAGTTTACATTTAACATAAAATATCATAGTAATCCTGTACAAATAAATATATATGTCAAATAAATGTGTATTAAGTTAATCTTAATGTTTTGTTAATTTTTCGATTCTACTAGGTACTCGGATACATTTAACCCGCAGCATTGCAACGTTTGTTAAATGAAGACATTACGAAGGTTAAATAGTTAGTGAATAATTACGGCAGCTAGCGCCATCTGTGTTGTGTTCACAACTACTTTAATTTTAAAATATTTTTATAGATGTCGCCACCTATTAAGCGTCATGAGAGTTTTGAGATAATTTTATCACGTTTCAACTAACTTGCAACAGATGGCACTGTTATAAAAGATTATGACTGCCGTTGTAGAATTGGTTAAGCCATGACGTAGCAGATGTCACTTCTTAAAAAGTAAACTCCTTTTAATTACTATTTGCCCCTTTCTCTCTTTTTAATATGAAATAAGCATTCAGAGCAAAAAAATGTCATATTTAGTGAGTACTCATTTGGATTTCTATTTTTACATTAAAATGAGAAATGGCAGCATCTGTAACAAAGAATCACCAAAATATTCCGACCATATCTAGAGAATATACCTACCTAAAGGTTTTAGATTGTAGAAGTTTTAAAATAAGAATTCGTATTTTGTAAAACATAGTCCCATTTCGTCTTATAACTGTAATACATGTTATCATTAAACATTCGTTGTGAATTATTACATGTTAAAATTAAGTTTATTTTCTTCAAAATGGTCTAAAAACATATGATTATTTCAAATATTTGGGCGACTTATTGCTGGCTAATTCTAAAACATAAAATCTCTTTTATTCTATTGTATTCACTATAAAACCGTCCAAAATCATTTATTAAAGGTTGGTAAATTATTATTTACTTAAGATATTTAAAGTCTAACGGAAATGATATCTACCTATTACTTACATAATTTACCTCGAGGCCTTTGTTTTCTGTTAGGTGAAGAACAAGTAGACACTATTTTTTGTTTGGTCAGTAGATTTAAGAACAAAACAACTTTTATGGTCTTTCATTGTTTGAAGAGTGCAAACAATGTAACGTTTGAAGTGATGTAAACTAAAGACAGAAAAATAAGTAAAGATGCTTATTAACATAATTGTAATAATGTTGGGATGAAGTTATAATATGACTTGTAAGGTTCCAGGAGAGGATTATTGTCTCAATAAGAAAACTAAATTTTAAGTCCTTAACTCCTTGTTATATACAGAAATATTACCATTTAAACTTTGTTAGGTAATATTAAAAGCTGGACTCGTTTCGTACATAAGTCATATAGATTGACTGTTCAAGTGTTTTATTGTTATTTGACTTATTGGTAAAGTTATTGTATAATTTATATAATGTAATAAATATAACAAGTCGTCTATGTCAATATGTACTATAAAATAATAGTCAAAAGCTATCACTATTTACATTTTAAAGCCGAGATTAACTTGTAAATTATGTACAAGAGCAGAACGCAACTATTTATTCACGATTTCCAAGTAGTAATAATTTTCTATATTATTGGTAATCGTAAAATAGGTTGAATTATTACACAATGAGACCGGCAATGTATTTGTTGCGTTCTAAGGCTGGGCAACAATCGCTGATCTATGGTCTGGTATCAATAGAGCATTATCAGGAAAGATTAAACCACACCTCACCTCCACAGACCAGCGAGCTACATTTCAATTGTATAGCTGAAATATTATGTAGAATTTAGGGGAGCACATATACATAGATATATGACATTTACAAATAACAAATTCCGTTGACTTCGTATGTTGTTTTGTTTTTGCTGTTATGGAATCTTCGTTCAGGGAAAGGATTTCTGACAATATTTCTATCAAGTGCTCAGGAAAGCTACATTCAAGTGCTGTCACTTGTAGCGTTCTTTATCGTTTACTTGGTTCCATTCACGAGAGTTTCTTCCAGTCAGATTTCCTTGAAGACGAACGTCTTTCTTCGCATCATGTAGGACGTAAAGCTGTGTTGTACCACCGCCGGAGATTGTTTCAGATTGTTTAATGGACTAGCCGCAGGCGCGCCGCGGACAAAACATACGGCAGTATCATTTGACAATTTGAGAGCAATCAATGCATTGTCGCCGCTCTTTATTCAACGGCAAATAATACATGGAAAATTGTCATTGCTATTGTGCGATGACCATTGTTGGTCTAATGACAGCGCTCAGATTTAGCGGGCTCTGGAACGGTTCATCAGTGCGGGCCCGGCCGCTGAGTGGAGCTTTACGGACATTGATAACACTCCCATTATTATTACTTTGATTAATAGCTCCAGTGTTTAACGGTAGTTGGAATTTCGACTAAGTTTGACCGAGTTCATTTCAAATGATATAATATTTGTATCATGTCGTATCCGTTAGAAAACTCACAAGCAAAGCCAGTGACGAAATTATCAAGGAATTCGAACCCGTATCACATAAAACGTCCCATGAATGCGTTTATGGTTTGGTCGAGGCTACAGCGGAAGAAGATATCCACGTTGAACCCGAAACTTCATAACTCCGAGATATCAAAACGGCTCGGTCTGGAGTGGAAGAGTCTGGACGACTCCGAGAAGAGACCGTTCATAGATGAAGCGAAGAGATTGAGACTGAAACACATGCATGACTACCCAGACTACAAGTACAGGCCGCGGCGGAAAAACAGGATGGACACCTCGATATATGGACCTACTTCTTTATATACATCTCGAGAGAGCTTCGTAGAGATAGAACCGAGGGTCGAAGCCAGCTATCCTATACCAATCAACTATTCCGACCCTCAGTATATGTACAACAACGTCATAAGTTACACGGTACCTATAAATCAGGCTCCGTTCGTTTCCCCCATAAGACCTAAAGAGGAGAACTTGCCTAGTTTAGACCTAAGGCCGTTGCCGTCGATTGAGAGCATTTCACCGAGGCCGTTCGCTGTCATGAACCAGCAAATGATGGTGAAGTCTTACCCCAACCTGCACTACGTGCCTGAAGACGTCGCGAGGATATCATATCACTACCCCTTCAGTGTGCAGTAGGAGTCATAGGAAATATTCATCACATATGCCAAACGTAGCTCTTAGGAATCAATAATGAGTAATATTAAAGGAATAATGCATAATTTCAATTATTCTTTTTTGTATATTGATATTTGTAATACCATTTCGAAATATTATCTAAAATTTTCATAATACAAAAATATAATGAAGAATGATATTGATAATCACAGAGTTTTCATTTAAATACAGGCAAAGATATTTATTTATTTAATTGATATTATTGTAATGTATAGACAAAGTAGGTGTAATTTATTGTCGGGTTAACGAGGTCGTTTGTCTCCTTGGTAAAGATCGTGATACTGAAGCGATAACAAAAATATTTTCCAGTTGAAATCTGTCACTTCCTGGACCAAAACGATCCATCCATGATACGCAAGTTACGTCGGAAGAAGAAGAATAATGCGACTACCATGACTAGACAGTTCCCTGGATTGATGACTGGGACAGTAATTGATTGAAATTCAAAAAGGGGGATCTGTTTGCTGTTTAAATTGAATTGTGATTTTGATGAATCCCTCTAATTGACTATATATGATCAGATGAACTTATTCTTTAGTATATTCCAGTGAATGGATTAAAACATTAAAACCATATAAGTGTTAGTAAATTACTTGTTATTCAAACTATAATTACCAAGAGCACACTCGACGTCAACTCGTTTAATGAATGTTTCTGAAGGGCTTAATTGAATTTTCCCCAATTCCGTTTGTGGGTATCGATACCGTTTAAAATAGGTTTTTCTTAAAATGTTTCAAGACGTTACATATATGGAGCTGTTAATCATTCCGTTAAAAAATTAATTAATTAAGAATTCCCTGATGATTATTGTCGCTGTTTAAGTATTACAAAAAATGTATTACATATGTATATTACAAAACGATATGTTATTTTTTACTTGACGTTCAATAATGAATTTACAACATATGTAAAACATTTAAATATCTTTAGTAAAGTGCTTTAACAACTCCATTAATTATAAGGTCACGCAGAATTTTCCATTAAATTAATGAAACCTATACAGTGCCGTTATAATTACTATTTATAAAACAATCTGAACGACTCTCAGCTATAGATGTTTGTGAGGTCTAAGTATTGAAAACCTTATTTGAGAATTAATTAAATCTGTTTAAGAATAGCTACGAAACAATTAATAATTAATATGGTGTGTTATAATCCTAGTAAATATAAAATAGAGTGGATTTAAAACAAACATTTAGTGTTCCTAATTCGTAAGATAAAATCTTCACTGAAGCACTTGGCACGCGACGTATCTTTGATTTCCACAACACTATCACAGAGCCAGTACACTCTTCAATCTACATACATGGCGTCGCTACACAAAACTCTATTTATAACACAGTAAGGTTCAATTTGAATACCATTAAAATGCATTTCTGGAGAATTATAACAGCTTAGTTACAATTTACTCTTAATTCCAAAACGATTTACGAAACACTGATCTTAGTGCGTTCAATATTGATCTCTAAGACCAAGGACGGAGGGTGTATGTGCGAATCTTTCACTTTTGATGCGAGGCTTACAATTCCGGATCCAGTACAAAAGTGTCTAAAGCACTACAAAGCAAGTGATTCCGTTGTGCAATGTAAAATAGAGTCTATCACAATGAGATAAGAGCGGTGCCGTTCGCATCTGAGTCTTGTCACACCTAAGCGAACGTCATAATCGTCACGGCGCCTTTCACACAGCTCACGTAGAATGAATGATGGATGAATCGCACCGAGAATCCCGCTTTTTCATCCATATAGTGGAGCATAATAAGAGTTTCAGCAATGAAAATGGATTCAGACGAAACGATACTTTACAGCTCAGATGATAAGAGGCGGAATCGCTTAGAGGCTGGTAAGTTGAAGTGGTCGGTGATAACTGTACATTCAAGCGAGTCGCAAATGGGCCAAAAGTTGTATGCGGAAAATGGGACGTGCGAAGATGTATAGGAGGCAGACTGGAAGCATTATAGTGTTGATGCTTTTCATATTTGACGTCCCTTTGTTGTATTTACTAGACAATTATGTAGTGATTACAAGAAACATCATATTACGAGGAGAAATTGACATTGGAAAATTTCTTTAACATATTGTTTATGTAAAGGCAGAAGCTTTCAGACAAACAATCATGTGTTTTATAGCTTATACCAAAGTAAATTACACTAGCCTTATTAATAAAACGAACAAAACCTTCTATATGCATTTCTGGTTCAACTAAGTTAAGTCGAACTAGGTATGCGATATAAACTTAAGTTGTTACAAATACAAGATATTTATGTTGTGGAACATCTAAAAACTTGTCTCCCAATAGTTGAAAGGATATTTTGTAAGAGAATTTTGATGGCTGTGTTTTTACGCGTGTATTGAGTTTGTAAATATGATGCACTTTTAATATTTGTATCCCCTAAAACACGACAAGTGAAAAGAGAATTTACACACACATTGAGTTCTGTAAACCTCGAAATATTTTGTGTTGAGAAGTTAATGGAAAACAAACGAGACAAAAGTTTAGAAACAAAATGTACTCAATTAAAATAATAAACAGAGGGGTTTCTAACGGTAATTGATACAACGATCGCTAGTAAGCGTTGTTTGAACACCTGCCCACATGACGGAGTAAACATTATTTGAACTGTTTACATGTTTCAAATCGTTTTTTGCCATACATTAAGAGTATTGGTAGATTCTCAACACTTGATTACTTCCTAAAGAACAGTAAATCACGGTCTAAGTGGTTATTATTGTAAGTAACGGCCCCCCGACGTCTAGTTATGATCTAACCCCATTGTGAGCGAGCCAAACATATAAACAAATACTGGCCAGCACTCAGTCGAGTTCCGAGCCATTTCACACGCCGGTAATAGGTTCCGTACACAATTCATTTCGGCAGTTTTGCTAATATCCCCTTTGTGTACGCGATCTCCGATATGGGGATTATTTTCTATGGAATAACTCGGTTTCGGCTATTAGTGACAAATTATACTGGATAGAGTTTTTATGATAATCAGATGTATCTTTATTGGTAATGCTTTGGATATAAAAACAATTTGTATCGACTAAAATAGAAGTTATTATTAAGATCACTTTAAGAACATATATAGCACTGTTGACCTTTTTTTTATTGACTTTAGAAAGGACTTGTCATATTGATGTTTTCGTATCGAGTTTCATTAGAAATTTGGCATTTAGATTTCTTAAATATTTTACTTTAAATGTATTGATGAGGAGGGACTTTCAACAATCTCTAATAATAATAAAGTTATTTTATTTATACTTCTTAATACTATCAAATTTAATTTAATGATAATAATATTTCAATATAGTAATATTTATAGTTTTTTTTGTTTAATCGTTATCTGAACCAGTTGGTAATACGTCTAAAAGTGAAATGCAAATACGAGTTCGGTGGCCGCTTCCTCTATTATACTTGTTGACTACATTTTAGATTTAGCTAAATAAGATTCACAGTTTAGATATTACGTATTGGCCGTTGCGATGGATAATGTAAAAAAAACTATCTCAAAAAAAATTCATTTCTTATATATGTACATATATAAAAAAATGTCGATCCTAAGTTAGAAGTTATAACTTAAGAAAATACATCGAATTTGATAGGTAATCCCAGTTTTCAAATGTATTTAAATCTAATAATATTCTTAATAATGTTGCTTTAATTATGAATATTATGTTTATTTTGTCATAAATGAGTCAAAAGCAAGTTGCCAGTTCAAATGTATCCAACATTCTTGTCTCCGAATGAAACTTTGTCTATGTTCATTGAGTGAGACGCTAAGTGATCAAGTTGCAATGAATGCCTTTGAAAGCTTTTCAGATTAATGAACGTTTTATAACTCCGCCGCTAAATGTCTTATTGTCCCTACAATAAAATTTCAATCACTTTATTCAATTCTTTTTACTGTTCTATTAAACACTTATATCTTAAAGGATACGATTTGATTAGGATTTGATTAGTAACAAAACTATAAAAACAGAATTAAATGAATTTCTACTTTACTATAAATGTAAAAGAAATATAAATTTATCTATATGTAGGTAGAAATCCATTCAGAGGTCGATCTTTAGTTGAAATACACGAAATTGAAAAGGCAGGGGACACAAATAAGAAAAGCTAACAGACGATAATAATTCGTTACAATAAGGTATTATATTAATGCTGGGAGAGGCATTAGAGGGAAATGGCGGCGCGGAGGTTGCTTTGTGGGGGAAATGACGTCACATCATAACATCCTTTATGACCGCCGGGCCCGCCCTGGGAGCCCACAGACTGACGACTCAGAGATATGACAACTATGATATGATGACAACAGAATACGACAAATATATATACAGATAATGATTATAATATATAGCTGTCTATATATACATACAAATAATTTGTAGGTTTAAATTAAGACAAAAAAAAACTTATAACCAATCAAAATGAAACATAGAATTATAGGAACAAGTATTATATTAAAAGCATATAATATTTTGAATTTAAGAACCTATTACACTAGCAATCAAAGAAAATGAAAATCAAAGTTTTCAAAATGAAATTATATATCATTATAATTAGTAAGAGATTGAGAAAGAGTAGGGGTACTGTGATAAGTTGGAGACGGTTTCAGACGTAAATGTAGACCACCAGCTAAATGGAGATGGGTCCTGTGTGACTAATAGAGTTAACTTTATGACAACTACTTACAACTGTCGGTATAAACTTACCACTTCTTACGATAGCTTCAAAATCTGACTGTTTTTACGGACTTCATTAAAGTGATAGTAATTGTTATCAGAACGGATTCAGAATAAATAATTTTCATTAAATAATTTAGCGTTATTTATATGAATTAAAATTTTGGACAGTTAAGAATATCGCATGAGATTCACTCTTTGAAGTTCTAAATTATCAATTATTTACTAATCATCGTAAAATAAATTCAAATAATCTTTTTTGTAAAACATTTTATATGT